GTAAATCACAATTCTAGTCCATAGAGTCCATAGAATATCCTTTCATGGCCCAAGTGGGGCTGTCGCTCTGGTTTAATGCATTTAATTATTTTTTTCATTGGTCATCCAGTCCATTCAGACTGCTATAACAAAATACTACAAACCAGGGAGTTTATAAACACCAAAAATGCCTTCCTCACAGTTTTGGAGGTTACGAAGTCTAAGATCAAGGTGCTGGCAGGTTCCTTGTCTGGTGAGGACCCACTTTTTCATAGACGCTGTGTTTACACTATAACCTCACATGGCCGAAGCGGTAAGGGTCTCTCTGGGGCCTCTTTGGTAAGGGCGTGGCCATTTAGCAGGGCTCCGTACTTATAGCCTAATTGCCTACAAAAATCCCCTTCTCTTAATTTCATCACCATGGGAGTTAGGACTTCAACATATGCTATTCAGTCATGATATACACTAGTATGTAACAAATATTTACCTATTAACACACACAAAAAAGGTTGTCACCTTCAAAGTGATCTATTTTTGCAGAAAGAGAATTTTTTTTTTTTCAAAAATGATTGAAATTCTTACAAATTTCTTTCTTCCCTTTGGAGACAGTTTCAAAGATAAAAGTCTCAAGATAAAAGTTCTTGGGGAGAGCCTGACTGCCCATACCTGGATGTGCCACAGTTTAATTAGCTCACTCATAGACTGTCTTTAGGGAGTGAGCTAATTAAATTGTGACACATCCAGGTACTCTGAGTGTGTAACCAAGAATAAAGATGCTCACATAGAAGGTTCTCTGGACTGCCCTGAGAGGTGAAAGGCAAGGTGCCAAGCAATGCGTGGAATGTGCTCTGTTTGCCAAGGAGGGGGAAATAATAACATACATCCACATAGGCTTTGTTTAGAAGAGGGCATACTGACTGACACGCAGGAAGCTAATAGAAGCTGCACCTGTGGGACAGGGAATAGGTCAAAGGAGAGAAGATGTATGCCTTCGTATCATTTGGGGTTTTGAAATATATGAGAATATTGACTATT